TGGTGGGCGTGCTTTGGAGGCTGATTGCTATGTTATTGAAATGCGGGACTTCGATGTGATCTTGGGCATGGACTGGCTCACTCGCTATCGAGCCGATATCCGGTGCCAGGAGAGCGAAGTCAGTCTCTTCCCTGTTTCTGATCAGCCTGTTATTTTCTATGGGGTGAAGTCGAGGACTGTGCCTCGAGTCATCTCTTTGATGCAAGCTAGAAAGAGCCTTTATAGGGGTAGCTGTCAAGGCTATCTGGTTTCTATGATATCCGAGGACGATTCTGAGAGGTCCCTGGAGAGAGTCTCTATTGTCTGCGAGTATCTTGATGTCTTTCCTGATGAATTGCCCGGAGGACCGCCCGACCGCCAAGTGGAGTTTACCATTGATCTAGTACCAGGAGCCGGCCCTGTTTCTAAGGCCCCTTATCGTATGGCACCGAAGGAGCTTCAAGAGCTCAAGACCCAGATCCAGGAGTTGCTCAATCTTGGTTTCATTCGTCCGAGTGTTTCGCCGTGGGGAGCGCCCGTCCTATTCGTGAAGAAGAAAGACGGATCGATGCGCATGTGTATTGACTATCGGGAGTTGAATGCCCTTACAGTCAAGAACAAGTACCCCCTTCCTCGCATAGAGGAGCTCTTCGACCAGTTGAGAGGAGCCAGTGTATTTTCGAAGATCGACTTGCGTTCTGGCTATCATCAGCTGAAGATTCAGGAGTCGGATACTTCTAAGACTGCCTTTCGTACCCGTTATGGCCACTATGAGTTCGTAGTCATGCCATTCGGACTCAGCAATGCCCCGGCCGTGTTTATGGACCTTATGAATAGGGTCTTTCATCCCTTCCTGGACCAGTTTGTTATCGTGTTCATCGACGACATCTTGGTTTATTCTCGGAGCATCGACCAGCACAAGGAGCATCTGAGGATTGTGCTGGAGACTCTTCGCCGCGAGAAGCTGTATGCTAAGTTCTCGAAGTGCGAGTTTTGGCTAGATCGTGTGGCATTCCTTTGCCACATTGTGACAGCGAGAGGTATTGAGGTGGATCCCAGCAAGATCGAGGCAGTGAGCAAGTGGGATATGACAAGAAGTGCCGCTGATGTTTGTAGTTTTCTGGGGTTAGCGGGATACTACCGGAGGTTTATCGAGGGCTTCTCGAAGATAGCCCAGCCACTAACCAACCTTACGAAGAAGGCCGTGAGGTTCAATTGGAGTCCTAGGTGTGAGGAGAGTTTCCAGGAGTTGAAGAGAAGACTCACTACCGCGCCCGTTCTATCCATTCCCGACCCTACTTTGGAGTTCACCATCTATAGTGACGCTTCGAAGATGGGTTTGGGATGTGTCCTTATGCAGCAGGGGAGGGTAGTAGCTTATGCTTCGAAGCAGCTGAAGCCTCACGAGCAGAACTACCCCACGCATGATCTTGAGTTAGTGGCAGTCGTTCATGCCTTGAAGATCTGGCGACACTACCTCTATGGAGGCAAGTGTGAGATATTTACCGATCACAAGAGCTTAAAGTACATTTTCACTCAGAAGGAGCTGAATATGCGGCAGCGTAGGTGGTTGGAGTTGGTTAAGGACTACGATTGCACGATTAGCTACCATCCGGGGAAAGCTAATGTGGTAGCCGATTCCCTTAGTCGGAGGAGTTATGGCCAGTTATCCTGTCTTTTTACCAAGCAAGATGTTCTTCTTCGGGAGTTCGAGCGACTACAGCTAGAGGCAGTGGAGCCGCCTTCGACAGTCAGGGGTATGTTGACCTCTTTGGTTATGGAACCGACTCTTCGTGAGAGGATTGTCGCCGAGCAACCGAATGATCGTTTCCTTTGCCGGATGAAGGAGTTGTCGGAAGCCGGTAGAGTTAGAGGATTCGCAGTCGCACCTGATGGGGCCTTGGTCTTCGAGGGTAGACTTTGTGTTCCGAAAGTGTGGGAATTGTGAAGGGAGATTTTGAGAGAGGCCCATAGTGCCCCGTACACCGTCCATCCTGATAGTTCGAAAATGTATCAGGACTTGAGGAAGTCTTTCTGGTGGTGAGGTATGAAGTGGCAAGTGGCAAGGTTCGTGAATGGGTGTCTGGTATGTCAGCAAGTGAAGGCTGAGCATCAGAAACCGAGAGGGAAGTTGCAGCCACTTGAGGTTCCCTTGTGGAAGTGGGAGTGCATCACCATGGATTTCTTGGTGGGATTGCCGAGGTCGAGGACCGGGCATGACTCTATTTGGGTGATTGTGGATCGCCTTACGAAGTCTGCCCACTTTCTGTCAGTCCAGACGACAATGAAGGCTAGTGAGTATGCCGAGTTGTTCGTAGATGAGATTGTCAAACTTCATGGAGTCCCCGTGGAGATCGTGTCTGATCGAGACGCGAAGTTCACTTGTCAGTTCTGGA